TTTAATGAATATCTGAATACTTATTGCGTGTCAGGACTGTTCTAGGTACTTGGGAGAAATCAGTGAACAAAACTGACAACAAGAAACAAACTAAAAACAAAACGGAACTTCTCCAATGGGAGTAACTTGACAGTTTGATGGAGGAAGAAAGATAGTAAATATAATAAATACATACATTCTCTGGTGAAATAGCAGGTAGTGTTATGAAATCAGGAAAATTATAATAGAGCTGGGTAATGGGATTGAATGTTGGATAGATAGGATGTTATAATTTTTGGTAGGATGGGCAGAGTAAGTCTCATGGAGAAGTAAGTTTGCACATGGACTTGAAGGAGATAGAAATGTTAACCGTGAGGATATCTGGAGACGAGTTTCAGGCAGAAACTCTGTAGGGAATGTTTAAGAAGCAGCAAAGAAGCCACTGTGGCTGGATTAGAGTGAATGAATCTTAGATAGTGGGAGAAGAAGTCACAGAGGTGAAGAGTGAAAATGTTTGGTGAGGATCTATAAATCCTTGACTTTCCTCTCAGTCAATTCTTTAGAAATAGTAATGTCTTTTGACAAAGAACAACTTTGGTTTAATATTTATTCCCATCCTAGACTCCCAGGCTAGATTAGACCCTGTTTTTACACTTCTACCATTCTGAGTTTATTTATGGAAAAAAAAAATGTCAAAAAGTATTTATGAAAAAATTATCTTTGTTTTACTTATTGCCCTACTATGGAGTGCAAATGTTTACTGCAGTTTTAAGGACCCTGTGATGCTCCCATTTCCTCCAGGGACCTGTGTTTAATTGGCATTAAATTTTAGGGCAGCAAATGTGTGGGGTTAATGGAAGAGAGGAGAGGAAAAGTGACGGGGAAGGGACACAAATGCTCAGGGTCGGGAGAGAATAAGGGGGTTGGAACAGGAATTTGGAGGAGCAGTAGCGGGGGTGAAAAAAATTGGGCAATGGAAGATGGTGAGGATAGGTACCAGAGGAGTCCTGGTGGCCTAATCTCAGGAAGTTACTCAAGAAGGACTGATGCCTGAAACAAAGCTGGTGTGTGTCCATAACAAAGACCCACTAAAACAAAGAACCATTGTTTAAATGCTTAGGAATAACCTGGGAGGTTGGTCATCACCCACCGGAAGTATTAGCTGTCTTTGGAATGAAACTTTCTAATGGCTCCTCCCACAGCCCTTGGCAACTTCTTTAGTGGAGGGTTTGAAGTGATTTTTGTTGACTGACTCCTTAGATCTAGTAAGTCTTTGCAGTTCCAACCTCCCAACTTTGATATCTCAAGATTCTGGTAAATTGTAGAAAACAGGGACACTAGAGATGTGGTTAAAAAAATTCCCATGCTTTAATGTCATGCTTGTTATAAATGAACTCAGTCATTAATTTATTTGCTTTATGTCTAATTCTTTCTCTACTTTTAACTTTTCCTCTTGAATTATTGGTTGAATGAAAGGTTAGTTAGTATAGATAATAGCTAGAAATCCAACCAAGATGAGTTGAGGGAAAGTCCAGCAATGTTAGTGGAACTCAGTTTATTTTGTGTTTTTTTGTTTTTTGTTTTTTTTTAACTGAAGGAGTTTGTCATAACTTTAGAGGCTGGAAAGTTCAAGATCAGAGTATCTGTTGATTTGGTTTCCCAGCAAGGGCTCTTTTCCTGGCTTGCAGACAGCCACCTTCTCCCCCGTGTCCTCACATGGGCAGGATAGAGAGGAAGCAAGCTCTCCTTATCTCTTAAGGGCACTAACCCTATCATGAGGGCCCCACTCTCATGACCTCATCTAAACCTAATTGCCTCCTACAGGTCCCATCTCCAAATACTATCACATTGGGGGTTAGGGCTTCAACACATGAATTTGAGAGGTGGGTGGGGGCAATTCAGTCCATAGCATAACCTAAAATGTATTCTCTAGAATTGGAGGAATCGTTTAACATTTAGGAATAAATGAGGAATATAGTTATAGTGGTGTTTTAAGATTCATCTAGTGGTAATGTGCTGTATAATTTGAAGGCCAGAGAGATAGAACAGAACAATTTGGAGCCTTTTACAGATGTACAAATATGAAGTAACCAGTAGACTTAAACCTAGAAGTTGGGGGAGGTGCTTTAATAGGAATGGAAATGAAATATAGTTAGAGTGACAAATGCTCTAAAAAGTTATTTAGAATCACTTATAAAGAGTTTCTGTGATTAATTTGATGGGAGCCAGGGGACGTTTGAACAGGATTTATAAAGTAGGAGAGTAAAAATCAACCCACTGATGCTCTTTGATCCTTAGAGACTAAGCAATTAATAGCACCATCATCAGAAATGGACATGCATTAAGTTAGAGTTCTACTGGAAAGAACATAGAACTAGAATGTAGGAGTCATGCATTTTAGTGCTAGCTCTGTTTTTAAACCCTACATATAATTTCTGGTAAATCATAAACTTTTCTAGGCTTTAGAAGTCCATCATATAATTCTGACGGTGACATTACTTGGCAAATTATGTTCTGATTTTTATGATATCAGGAAAAATAGTAGAGATTTTGATTTAGAATTAATTTTTTAGAGAGGATATTAGAGCATGCATGTAGAATTACCTAGAAGGTAGTTAGTAGGAATGTGGAAGTGATCCTGAGAAGAAGGTTAGATTAGGGAAGAAGTTCTCCCATAGAACATTTTTGATGCCACAGCGAGGGGATTGCTACTAGCATTAATGGGTAGAGGCCAGGGATGCTGCTAAATGTCCTAAATACACCCAACAGTCCCCACAACAAAGAATTATCTGGTGCATTTTGTGAATAGTGCTTAGGTTGAGAAACACTGAACTATGTGGCATCATCCTGGAGTTAGATGATTGAAGGTGTATGTAGACAGACAAAAGCCATTTTTGTTTATTCCAAAGAGCAATGTTTTCAGATCTGCCTCATATGTTTTCTTGCATTGCATATCTCTTAATTATCTACATGATCATAGTTTTAAAGTTGTAAATCACTATGACACATTAGACTATAAGCTTCATGCATTTATCATTTTCTTTATGCATTCAGCACTTTCAGTGCTTGGTGGTGTCGGACCAGTGTTGGACAAGCAAAATATAGTTATGGAATAGTGGGAAAAGAATAATTTTTATTATGCTTAATATTGTATTTCTTTTTATAATCACTTCCAACTTGGTACACATGTTTTCAGGTTTAGATATCTATATGTTCCAAAATTATATACTGATAAGCTAATTAAATTAGTGAGAGGTGCATGGCACATATTAGATGCCAGTTTAATTTTTATAGATTAGGTTTTGCTGGTATGAAGGATCCACACTGGGTTACAGTGAATTCTGACATTGTTTTCAGAAGTTGCTGAGTTATGAATTGTGGTTTAATGTTCCTACTTTTGCTAGCCTAAAACCAGTGTTTTTCATACCATTAGTAGTGTACCCACTGATGAGTCATAATTGAATTTGTGGATCGTGGTCAATTTAGGAAAAGTGAAATAGAAAATATTAGAATAAGCATCCCATGTAGTAAAGGCAGTTATTATTTATATGTGTTTGTGTAGTGGAACACCATATAATTTTTCTTTTAACCTATAGATTGTAGTGAAAAATGTTTGTAACAAGCTAGCAGCTTTAAATTCTTTACTGGCCCATTGAATTTCTGTGTGGACTGGGTTCTCAGAGTAAATTCATAGAAAACATAGAATTAATGGAGCACAATCTGCTCTACAAATGAAGGTTCTCAATAATGAGAGTTACTATTCATTAATTCATTTAACGAATTCTGTATTATTTGAGTTCCTGTGCTGGGGATAAAGCAGTCAACAAAAGATAATCTCTGCCCTTTGGAGTTTACATTTTACTGGATAGAAATAAAAAAGAATCAAGATAAACAAAGTTTATATTACCTCAGATGGTGAGAAATGTTTGAAGGTGAAAGAAGGGAAGAGATATCAGGAATGTGAATTACAAGTTGGTTGGAGAATTTGAGAACTTTTCTGAGAAGACTTGGAACAGAGTCCTGAAGGTGGTGAGGAGCCAGTCACACAGGTATCTGATGATGAGCTTTCATATTAGAGGGACAGCAAATTACAAGGGCCTTAAGCAAGGTAAAGTGTGTAGTGTGTTTAAGAAATAGCAAGGAGGTTAGTGTGGCTAGAGCAAAGTGAATGGGGAGAGGAGGATGATATAACTGCAGGGTGGTATGCAGGGTTGGAAGTATGTGTGGTCTCAAAGGCATAAGAAGGACTTGACCCTTTACTGAGTTAAACAAAGTCATTACACAGGGTTTTGAGCTGAGCAGTGATATAATCTGATTTGTTTTAACAGAATCACTTTGCTTGCCATGTGGAGAAGAGACTGAGGTGGGATGAGGGAGGAAATACTGTTGGACTTAAAAGTTCAGTGGGGAAGTCAGGACTGGAGGAAGAAATTTAGGAAACATCAGTGAATGGATTATAATTAGCACCTTGAGTTGGGATGAGATTATCAAGAGAGTTCATTCCCAATTTGCTAGGCATGTGCTAAGCACTTGACATTGAATTATACTGTGTGTTGATATTTGTAGATACTCTTAGTCTGTTCTTTGAATTTGACACTTTTCTCTGTTAATATTTATGAAATTAGTATGTGTGAATCAATTGAGATATATGCATTTAATATAAATATTCTTCCAATTCTACTACATAACAAACTGCCATTGAATAGTTGGTGCTTTTTAAAAAGAGCTGTTACCTTAAATCTAAGAAATAAGAATTTTTGCCTTCACGATATAGAAACACATTTAAAAACAGTAAACCAGCCAAAGAAGATACAGCTGCTGTGTGGCCAACTTAGAGTTCCAGCTTAATCTCTGACTCCAAAGCCCATGTTTCTGAACACTGTACAATGGTACCTTTATTAAAAAAATAATAATAAACAAAGAATCCTTGTCCTCTACATATGACTTTACCTACTGATTAGTTGTTGGATTTTTTTTTCTTTTGTTTCTTTTTTTTTTAATAGAAAAGATTATAATTAGCATAGGACAAAGCTATGATTCTAGAGTCACATAGATTTGTAATGATAGTTTAAGTTGTCATTTATCGTCTTTGAGTCTCAGTGCCCTTATCTGTAAAATAAAGATGTTGATAACTGCCTAGAGTTTTGGAGAGAATTAAATGAGATAACATTTTTTTCTGTACTTACTGATGTGTAGTGTGTTTGTATTCAGGTGGCAGTTTATATAAAGGAAGCACTGAGACTTGAGGCCACACCTTTCAAGAATAAAAAAAAAAATTGGAAAATGGAACCATGTAAGGAACAACAAGAGCCAGAACCACAGAAGAGCATAAAAGAAACCAAACAAGTAGATGAAGAAGATGCTGAGCTGATCTTTGTTGGGGTGGAACATGTAAATGTAGATGCTGACCTGATCTTTGTTGGGGTGACTTCAGAACCTAAACCAGTTGTTTCAAACATTTTGAACAGAGTTACCCCGGGTTCACGTTTAAGGAGAATAAAGTATGATCACCTCAGAAAAGCTACTGCTCACAAATTGCAGCCCATCAGCCATGTGACACCTACATCAGAAGCAGTGACTGTCTTGCCAGTTTCTGAACCTGAATCACGATCTACAGAAAGTCCTATTATTACTGAGCCTTTGTCTAAACCTGATTATAAAAGTAGTTCACCACAAGTTGTGCCTAATAGTTCTTCTGAGTTATATTCTCCTTTGACTACATTCACAAGTTCATTGCAGCATTCAATAGGAGCAGCACTTTCCCTAGGAAGTGTGAATAAAAGTCCTTGCACTTCAAAGCGACTTTCTATTTCAGAAGTAAACAACGTAAATACCAAAAGGCCTAAACTCAGTGATGGAATCCCAGGAGGACATTCTCCACCTTCTTCTCCTTCAGGTATTTTTCATACAGTAACTACTCAGCAAAGCACACCCTCAGATAGTGTTCATACCTCATTAAGCCTTGTTCAGAATGGAGCACCTTTTCCAACAGCTTTTCCAAAGGACAGTGTCCATTTCAAGCCTATAAATCTTGTTAGGGAAAATAGATTGAGAGAAATAGACTTTTTGAGTCTAGCAAGTCAAAACAAGATTGTTGATCCCAAAAAAGGAAATCTGGTTGTGTTACTTCATGACTTTTACTACGGACAGTATAAAGGAGATGGGCAGCCAGAACAGAAGACTCACACAGTCTTTAAATGCCTCAACTGCTTCAAAGTTCTAAAAAATATCAAGTTTATGAACCACATGAAGCACCATTTGGAACTTGAGAAACAGGGGTGTGAAAGCCGGGAAATGCACACCATCTGCCAGCACTGCCACCGGCATTTTCCCACTCCATTTCTGCTGCAATGTCACATTGAAAGTGTACATACTTCCCAGGAGTCCTCTGCAGTCTGTAAAATTTGTGAATTGTCATTTGAAACAGAGCAGGTTCTCTTACAGCACATGAAGGACAATCATAAGCCTGGGGAAATGCCCTATGTGTGCCAGGTTTGCAATTACAGATCGTCTGCCTTTGCTGATGTGGAAATACATTTCAGAACATGCCATGGAAACACAAAGAATTTGCTTTGTCCATTTTGTCTCAAAATTTTCAAAACTGCAAAATCCTATATGAATCATTGCTGGAGCCATTGGAACAAAAGTGTCTTCCAGTGTTCCAAGTGCCGGCTGCAGTTTTTAACTTTCAAGGAGAAAATGGAGCACAAGACCCAGTGTCATCAAATGTTTAAGAAGCCTAAGCAACTGGAAGGATTGCCTCCTGAAACAAAAGTTGTTATTCAGGTGTCACTGGGACCACCTCAACCAGGGTCAGTGGAAGTAGCATCCATTGCTGTGAGCACATCTGATTCTGAGCCACCACCAGCCCCCAAGCCTAAAAGTAGAGTTTCAAAAAAACCCCGTTAATTCTAGTTTTAGTAAATCTAAAATATTTCAATCAAAGTAAAACACCCCATAGAAAGAAAACATACAAACCACACATTTTAATAGCTTAAAAAATAGTGACACCAGTTGATCATTTATGAGGTTTTTTTTTTTAAATTAACGAAATACAGTATTGTTTGGTCTGAATTTTGAGATGTTATTTAAAAATATATTATCTGGTTTCATTCTGGCTTAACACACAAAAGGTGCTTTGTGTACATGTATGTGAAAAAAAGTTGAAAACTTATTATTTTGTTATTTATTCATGTTACTAAATAAGTGTAAAAGCTCTTCTTTCTGTATATAGAATCTGTAGAATTTCTTAAGTACTTAATTTTATTTTCTACTTTTTCCATGCCTTGAAGATTTCAGTATTAACTCTAGTCAAACTGGAATAACTTGATTATGGCTTGGTGGTGGTTGCCGCTGAACCCCCTGAAGTGCCTCTATTGTGCTGTCCTAAAATGACCTGGCTCCGAAAGCCTGGGTGTGAAGTTGAGAGAGAAGCTGTGGCATGAATGGGACCAGAAAGTGGGAGGTTAGTCAGTGGAGAGCAGTGGCTCTTTATCCCAGTTGAGAGGCACACATTCCCTTCAGTCTTGAAGCCAGGGCTGAAGGAACAGTGTCAGAGTGTCATTACCTAGTCCAAGAATACCCAAGGAAGCAAAAACCATTAGTAAATATGCCTGTTTGGTGAAGGTTCCTTGCAAACATCAAACAACCACAGTGTGTCATTGGCTTCAACTGGAGAAGCAGAGGTAGTTAATATTAATAGAATGGGGCCTGGTGCCAGTGGACCTCCTGTTTAGTGGTCCACGGGGGGATTCGATTTGTTCCCTCCTTTCTGGCTTGCTTTTAGTCAGAATGAACTAGCCCTGTCCTGGGAAGCCACAGCAGTTAAGGAAGTAGTTTCCCAAGGAAAAGAAACTGACATCCTTAGTTTGAATTGTACTGGACGCATTATTTTAACTGAAAAGGGCCAAACAAATTGTATCTGTCCAGTTCATGGACTGAGTTAAATTTAGTTCTCTTAAGTGTTAAGCTAGAATGAGGATTGTCCAAGAACAGTAGATACAGTGGATAAAGATAGCCCAGGGTGAATTAAGCCCATTATAGGGCTTTTCCTTAACATTTTTCTGTGTACATGTATCTTACCCTAATTGAATATGTGAAGTTTGCAATTTTGTATCTTGCCTTGGACATTGAATGTGTTATAGTGAACAGTTATTCTCTTGTGTGTGTGTGCAATTTCCCATTTTATAAAATTAATACTATTTGGGTCTTACTTGACACAGTCCAATGTGCAAGAAATGTCCCTTTTATTTCAGTAAGTATTAGTTAGGTCTTAGAGTTGCAGTCCTTCATCTAATCTATCCACCTATTTAATATGTGACTATATTATGGGAGAACGCTTTCCCCTTGTCATCTCTAAGGGCTCTTTCACAGAACTGTGGAGTACCCTCTGAGTATTATTGGTTTCTGAACATTAGCAGCCTTGGCTGCTTCTGTGGGTTCCCAGGGTTGGGTCTCCTTCGGAATGTTCTGGTGCCATCCTTCTTCCACTTCTGACCCAGGTACCTAGCAGCCTCTGTGTATTACTCAAGGACTCTGGGATCCTGGCTATAGACCTAAGCCAGGAGAAATCTCTCCTTTTCCCTCTTGCTTTCTCCTCCTCCTCAAAGGCACCTTATCTCTCCCTACTCCTTTGTTCCTTTCTCAATCTGTTGTAGTTAAATTCCTTAAGCTTTCACAAAAAGCTGGGAAATGATAATCATCAGGGATGTAGCATCCCTCTTAGAATTAGGGAGGAAGGACTACAGATAAAAGTAGTTGTGAGTATATTGTCCATGTTTTAGATAATTTCCTCAGTGTAGATTCTGCAGTATTTATTTGCTCAGTGTGTGACTGATTGATTTGCACTTGGAACATTTTACTAGGCCTTTTCAGTTAGTTTGCTTGGGCCAAGGCACTTTGCTAAAATTTCAAACTGAACTCCTTCTTTAGGTATAGAGTGTGTGTGTGTGTGTGTTTCACTTGTTTTGATCTCAGGTGGAAGTGTCTGTATAAGTAGATCTTCAGACTTTTGCATACTTTCCTCCCCTATTCTGTTTCTGTGGTAAAAATACGAAATGTTTTATTTCTATGTTTTTATGTTTTTGTGGTTGCTTCGTTTGATCAACACTGTTACTGATGCTTGCTGTTTTGCTGAAGTGTGCTCGTCAGGAGTGCAGATTGTTATTTATTGCCACGGTTTCAGTGATATGGCCCCTGTCTACCTCCTCTCGCTTTTTCATTCTTTGCCATGCTACTCTACCATTTCCCCCCATTGATGCACTGTTTTTAATACACTGGCCTTGCTTTTCCTCAAGCAAATCGCATTTCTTCCTGATCCAAAGACTTTACAACTGCTGTTCTCTGTATTAGAATGCTCTTCCCGTAGACCTGCATGGCTTGCTACCTCAATTAATTGACACTTTCTTTGGGTCTTTGAGCTTCACCAGTGTTCTTAAAATGACACTCACAGTGAAATCCACTCCCTTTCTCCTCCTCCTTAAAGGCACTTTATATGTCTCCCCCCTCTTTTATTCCCTTTCTGATCTAGTTACATTTTCTAGGCTTTCACAAAAAGCTGGAAAGAGATAATCACCAAAGACTTTGCTTCTCTCTTAGAATTGAGTTAGCTTGAGTCCATTTCTGTGCCTGCAACCAAAAGAAAATTAATATAGTGAGTTGAGTTCCTTCAGGAGCTTTCTCTGTTTTGCTATTGATACCTATATATTTTTTAAAGGTAGTGTCACTTTGTTTACAAATAATATTGAATATCTGTCAAGATTACAATTTTGTTATTACCCTTTGTGGATTTCTCTATTTTACTTGTTCTTTCAGATAAAATTTATTATTTTATTAATGTTGCCAAAGTTGTAAGTAGAATAGCAATTATAGTAATAAATTTTTTTTGAAAAAATGTTTTTGTTGTTTGTCTTTTTACCAATATCACGGTATATTTATAGTTTTATTAAAAATTTTTGTAGTACCACTAATGTAAACTTTTTGCCTTCCTCCAGTTGTGTTTATTTCTGATCTTATTGCATTGGCCAGAAGTTCTAAATGATAATATGAAAATGGGCTTTCTTGTTCTTGGTTTTAATGAGAAATGTTTTACCATTAAACATAATGAGTATATTGCATAATGAATTTGTATCTTTAGGAGATTAAAATTGTTATTTAGTTTTAAAGGATAGTTTACAACATCTATTGAGACAATCATTTACTTTCTCTTTACTAACCCAAGGCTTTTCTTGGCTGGATTCACACCTTTTCTTTTCGAAACCTTCCTTTCCTGAAGCAAAAATAGTTCCACTTGGGGTTGAGTATTAACCTCTCTACTCAGAATCTCATTCCCTTTCTCATTTCTAATATTGAAATGTATTTCCTTTTCTCCTCGTTAGATTTGACACAGTTTTGTTACGGGAGCCTGTGTTCTCTTGCCTACGGAAGAGTCAAAGGTCAGCAAGCTGATTAGTATGTAAACAAGGTTTATTAGTGATACATTCTCAGGGAAGAGAATGGGCCTAGCTGAGGTGGTGGGGGGGGGGAGAGAGAGAGAGAATAAGTAGAGAGAGAGAATAAGTCGAGAGAGAGAGAGAGAGAGAGAGAGAGAGAGAGAGAGAGAGAGTCAAGAGAGAGAGAGAGAGAGAGGGAGAGAATAAGTCAAGAGGCAGGAAAAGTGGTGCATGCTCTTCCATGGGAGGGTGAGACCTCCATAGATGAGTGGAGGTCTTCTGTTGACTCAGATCCTTATCTTGTTCCAGNGAGAGAGAGAGAGAATAAGTAGAGAGAGAGAATAGAGAGAGAGAGAGAGAGAGAATAAGTCCGAAGGACTTATAGTTTGCTGGGTGTTACATATTGATTTGGCAGGAAAAGTGGTGCATGCTCTTCCATGGGAGGGTGAGACCTCCATAGATGAGTGGAGGTCTTCTGTTGACTCAGATCCTTATCTTGTTCCAGACCACCTCTCATCATCTGTTGTTGTAAAAGCAGATATGGGTCTGGAGGCAGTTAATCAAAGCTATTTATGAGCTTTTTTTCAGTAGGCACTGTGGACCCCCTCCCACTCCTCCTCCTCCTTCAACATTTTCTAACTTCTACCTAACAGTTTCATCAATGTTTCTGGCTTATTAATTTCAAGAAGCAACCCTTGATTTATAATCCCAACTAGTTTTGTTTTGTTATGCTCTATTTTTGTCTTGTTTCATTGTTTACCTATTTCTTTATTTAGGATTGATTGCCTTTTATTTTAAAAGCTATTTTTTTCTGTATTAAAGGATTTAAGACTGCCTGCCTTTATGTACAGTTTTGTCTGAATTCCAAGTTTTAATTCTCCATGCATTTTTTTTTTAAAGATTTTTATTGGGGAATTGGGGGAAGGGGAACAGACAAGTTGCTATCCTTTTTTGTTCTTTAGTTGTGGAGGACATTGCTTCACTGGCCCAAGTTGGCACCATCATTGCGCTCTTCCCAGGTGAGGCAGATCAGTCACTGGCTTCTGGACGGCACAGCGGCTTTTGGCTGCTCACGCTGGCTGCTGGCTACATGCGGTAGCCCATGGCAACCCACCTGCCGTTGCTGATGACTCACAGCAGCCCAGCTCCAGGTTGAGCTGTTGTTTAGCATCTTAGCCACAGAGGGCAGCGTCACTGGCCCTCATATGTGGGATCCGAACCGGGGCCCTCTGGCATCCCAAGCCAGGTCTTAACCAATGCGCCACTCGGCCAGCCCTCCATGCATTTATTTTGTAAGTTAATTTCGAAGATTTAAAAATTTGCAGGCTGAATGTTTTAATCTTAATTTATAGTTTTACTGAGAATTAAGTTTTCCTTGGATCTTTGAGGGTGTGTGTGTGTTGATACTGACAAGTGTAATTATATACACATCCTTTTCAAATTACTACATGAGTTATTGAAAAAAGGATATTTTTTGTTTTTATGGTAAAATATGAAATGTTTCAATCTAGAAATCTATCCCCTCAAAATGAATATAGTATAAAAGGTAAAGGT